TCATCTGTGTAGAGTAGGACAGGAGAAGCGCGGGCTGTAGCTGCGAGCTGTCCAAAAGGTCGCCAAGAGTTCCGCCAGTCATGAGCTCCATGTCAATCATTATGGCCGTTCTCGATATCTGGATGCCAAGAATATCAATGCAATTGATTCTCGCGCGCGAGTCATATTTCTTCAATCGCTGCAGACAAGCGATTTCCCGTATAGCCTCAGGCGGTAAGCCGTTACGGGGTTCAGTGAGTGGTATGTGTTTGCGGGCGATGGGAAGGCCTTTGAGCTTGTATACGGTACCAAATGATCCCGAGCCCAGTTGCTCTCCCATAGGAGTTGACGTTGTGATTCTCATGGAGGGCTCTCTGCGTGAATACACAGAAACGAAGATAGCGGGATGTGGCCGTTCTCGTACATGCATGTATATATATATACATACATATACATATGTGCTGCGAAATCTCCCAAAACCTTCCAGCCTCAACGTTGCCGAGTCAAGCACTTCATAACACTCTGGCATCCCGCCTGCTGGTGATTTGTCAAGAACAATAGCAAATTAATTTTTACATCATTTCATTCCAATTTGCGTTGACGAAACGTTTTGCCCATTTGACAACAGATATGTCAGCCTGCAGTTTAAATGAATATGCGCAGACGTTTACAAAAGCGCTGTCTTTCCTAGAATGTAGCAATTACTGATGATGCTCACCTTTCTACTATTTCCTGTAGTTCTCTATGCGCAGCGATTGGTTCTAACCATTGTCAACAACTCCACGAAGCAGACGATTTGGCCTGCAGTCGAAGGCTCAGGCTCAATCATAGAGTCATCTGCTGATGGAAGAGTTATCGATTATTCTCAAGACCCGTTACCCGAAGGCCTTGCGTTGGAAGCTCATTCGCAGGTCGAAATCTCTTTCAGCTCGTTCCCATGGTCAGGACACATCTGGGCGAGGCAGTATTGCGCAGCCGGCGGATCGAACTGTGTTGTAGGTGACTGTGGTCACCCGAGTTGCTGGGGTCGTTCATCTACCGGCACTACGCTATTTGAAATTACCGCACAAAAAGACAAGATGTACTACGACATCAGCCTAGGTGAGTTTGAATCTACATCTGACTCGTTCCAGAATACCGAATTCACCTCCTTCACTTAGTCGACAGTTTTACATGCGGCGTTCACGTTGTGCCGGACGACCAGGACTGCGAAGCGATCGCTTGCCTAGCCCCGCCCTACCTCGGCATCAATCCCGAGGATCAGTCACTGGTATGTCCTCCCCCCAACCTGATCACTGACCCGAGGACAAGTGACGCACCCATCGGCTGCTATTCTAACTGTGCCGTATACGACACAGACGAGTACTGTCGCAGGGGTGTGTACGATGCAACAACCTGCAAGGGTAAGAATCCGTGGTTTAAGAAGACGTGTCCGGACGCATATAGCTACGCTTACGACGACCAAGACGCCACATTCACGTGTGGCTTTCGCAATGTGACGATATATTTTCACTGTTCATAGGATCCCCCAGGGCGTTTCCAATTTTAGGCTGGCGGATGTAGGCCATGGTACATAGCTAGGAATACTGAGTAAAGTTGTGGGAAGGGGAAACGGTAAGTGTACCTAGTGATCTCTGGTGCTCATCAGACATGCCGAAATGTGACGATTGTTAATGAGAATAAATCTGCTTGCTATGAATAGCACTCGTATGCGAACTAATCTACGTAACGTTTAACCTCCTGCAGGGCAGTTAGATAGCTTCTGACCTGCCGCCTCGTAGCAACATAGATGGCAACTTCCCTCCACGTGCGTGCGAACTGAGAGAAGACACGGATGCGGGGATGGGCTGTTTATCTTTTTGCCCTAGACTTGCACCTCTACCCACCTGACTGGACCGTAATAGAGCACTAGCGATCCTATTGCTCTACATAGCTACAAACGCCACAGTCGGCCAAAGCGACGTGGCCGCCATCAGGGATCGGATTACTTGCATGGTGTGGACTTCAACTACTAGGAAAGGCCAGATGAAGTAGGATAAAAAGATCAGTGGACTTTCGATTTTGTCTCAATGGGAACGATGTAAGCTTTCTTTCTGCTTTCCGCTTGCCTTGGCGGTAACCCCGAACTTCAACCAAGCGCGATAGTAATCATAGAATCACATAACTATAGAGCATACCAGGAACCACGTATTCTAATCGAATGTGTCTACGTCTCTCATAAAGGATGAGAGCAATGAAACGCCAGAGAACCTACCCAAAGGAATGGAGTCGCCGTACAGTGGAGCAGAATTATGGCCCCACTTATGTTAAGTCTATACTATCCGTCATCCGCAATTCGAGCTGTGTCCGTTTTGTTCAATATTACTTTGCCTCTCTCTCGTCTCTGCTTTGCTTCTAGAACATGGAACGCGAGCTCACGAGAGAAGCATGGTTCGAGCGTGGATGTCGAGGCCCGCTGCTAATGTGAGGGATGGATGTGCTCACTTCGTGAATCCGAGGCGGAGGCTGTGGAAGACGTCCAGGCGTAATGCCTATCTTGGCGGGAATTGGAGATGAACTTGGGACGTTGCCGCCTGACAGCCTCAAGCGTACATGCTGTTGGCGTTTCTGCCAAACAAGATAAACAAAAGCTGCGATTGCGACTAGTATAGCTACGGCAGATAGAGTATATGCAAGAGCTTGGCCACTGATGATGCTTGCTCGTGATGACGCCAGCGGATGCGCTTCAACGAGAAATTCTTCCGATGCGGGTATTGCTGTTGTCGTTGGTGACGATCGCGGCCTGATGTCGGAAAGACGAACCCAGCCTAACTTCATTGCATTGGTCTAGTTTCAGGCCAAAGATGCCTGTCGAATTGGAGGAGACCGCATATATACTGGAAAGGAGCCCCGTATAACTGTATCAAGACCAGAACAGTCTGCCGCTCATGATCAATGACAAATCGTCGGGCCTTGGTGTCGTGCTTGTCGTCATGCTCTTGAGTAACGCGAACGAGCGGTCGGGTAGTCTTATCTGTTTCGTTGTGTTAACAGATCCTGCCCGAAAGCTGCATTCGATACCAGGATGCCACATTTCACCCTAGCCCTCGTCGCTGTGGTTTCGTAGTCATATGGGGTCTTCTCTCCTGAGTGCATTGAATTTATTAGTTACGCTAGTTGGCTCACGCTGCGTTTGCGACAAATGATGAAGGAACGATGGCCAGTGCGGACTCGCAGCACACATGTAGACCGAGGATAAGCAAGAAGCGCAGCGACCTCATGGTCGGCTGAGAAGGAAGTTTTGAAGAAGTTATAGATTGTGTATTTCGCTCTCATGGCCTGCGACACTTCACGCTACGTCCTAAGATTCCCGGACGTCTGTAGTAATGACTCCGTCTATACTGCTATGACGAAAGCACAATGATGCTGGGTAATACTAGACGACTAAACCTGGAAAGCTGTTGTAGCGAATTGCGCGCTCAAGCCCCGGCTCACTGACTTAGAAAGAAATGAAGCCAGCTTTCAACACCCTCGCAGTCACGACGCTGCTGGCCATTCCAGACACGGGCGCTGTACCGAATGCGAATAAATGTTAATAGCCGTCAACTACGGTCTTACACGCTTATGAGTCTGGAGAAGCTGCCTGAGATACTCTTTGATCGATAGTCGGGCCTCTCTGGCCACTGTTGGTCTGTTCTGGACTGTCTGTTCGCACACGAGACACCGTGAGTCTTGGGCGTATGTACCTGTCGCGCATGAGATTTCATTTGTTTTACAGAGCCGTTGCCGCGTCACCTACAGTAGCCGCAAATCAAGCTTTCGCAGCAGGGCAACTCGAGTGAGAACATCGCCAACTCGGAGCAGATCGAGCACCGTAAGTTGACAGGGACACAGTTCATTTCGCACCGATTCTCAGTTGATCATGGGCATTGATTGTTACTTCTACAAGACATGACCAGCAAAAGTAGGTGCGTCCCGCCTCAATGCATCTCACTGTCGTTTCTGCTGTTTACATAATGCCTTCCGACGCGTCTTCTCCGCAGTTTACCCTATCACAATGGAACAATAAACATAAACGTCTTAAGTGATGTTGCATGTTTGTTGGTTATGTTAGCCTTTACTATTGTTCGTTGTCTGACGACAGACAGGATTCAATGGACTTCGCTGGCCGCTTCGACCCACGCCCCCCTTAACCACTCGACCAGGTCCGAGCGTTTCGTTTGAAAAGGAATCCAGCGCTCATTGAAGCAGCCGCATGGACTGCGCTTTGAATTCTCAAGGGAGCTGAGGGCAGACTATTTACGCAATCGAGTACATGACTGGCCGCCTTGTCATCGGCTTGCCTGGGAGGCTTGCGTCTCTGTTGTATCTTTCTTGTTCGCGGTCATAAAGACACGAGACGCTAGGCGCCAGACGCCGACCACATCGAGTATTACATGATGTCTTACAAGAAGGCAATAAGCGTCTTACGGCATTTCTTAGAACATCGAGGGAGTGACATGCGGCGCATCACGAGTGAAAATGGGTATCCATGCGGACTGTCTCATATAGTGTCAACATAAGACTGTCTACACTTCAGAGTAAAGAGCTTGCTTTTGCGTCTTCGGTAGCGCTCGATAAAACCTATCGAGCAGCAGTTAGACAGGCAGGGGTCATTGTGTGTGTATTCATGAGTATGACGAATGAATGGCTATGGAAAGAAACCCCATATCTATATAATGAGTGTACGATCCCCTCGTATAAGGACACCCTTGCTGACCTTACTCATACCTCTGGTTAAGCATAAGTCAGGTCGCTCGAGGTGAAACAATTACCGTAGCGAATGTGCTGGGGCGGTCTGACAAAACCTAAGAAGTCCAGTCGCCTGCGATAGGGACACAGCTTTTACTTGATCTACCAGGACACAACTAGACTTCTATTCTAGCATGAACGCTCAAACACAGCCTTTGACGCCTACGAGCTCCTATTCGGGCGAAACGCTCGTTGGCAATGAGTCTCCGCCGCCTTCATGGTCTCCCGGTTACAGCGTCACCTCAACACTGGTGGACGAACCCGGGCATGGTACCGATATGGGGTCGGCAGACTCGGCGACGACCTTACCGGACGTCCGTGCGTGGCTTAGGTCGTCTTCAGCTGGCCCTTCGCCGTCCGAAGCTCTCCGCCCCGATGACTTCGGCGTCCACACGGACACTACAGACGCCACTCCAAGTAGCTATTGGACGGAAGAAGAGCACCGGGAAACCCCATTGACGCCGGCAACCTCAACATCAGACAGTACCTTGGTCGGCTCTCCCACCGCTTCGTGGTCCTCCGGCCAAGCGACGATTCACTCGTCAGCCGAGGACGATCTGATTGAAGCCGTCAGAAGCCACCGCCTGGAGCAAGTCGAGGTTCTCTGTCATGCTGGTGTTTCACTCTCTGCCGGCCATTCCGAGGTCCTCTACGTCGCTTGTCTCCACGGCACGCAGATGATCGGCACGCTAGCTTACAACCCCGCTGACAGAACCTGTGTTGGATAAACGATGTCAATTTAATGCAATACCACTGAGGTCAATTGATTAAAGGGTGATTGTTGTGCTTGATTAAGGGATTCCCTCTCATCCCGGTCCGAGCGGGGTTCTATCTTGTATTTACCCATCATCACCGGTTCGTGTTGGATTGACGACTGTGTCTGGATAAAGGGATGCTAGAAATGCGTTGAATAATATGTACGAACCGGTGATGATGGGTAAATACAAGACAGAACCCCGCTCGGACCGGGATGGGACGGAATCCCTCAATCAAGCACAACAATCACCCTTTAATCAATTGACCTCAGTGGTATTGCATTGAATCGACATCGTTTATCTAACAGAGATATCCCCAATCCATTATGCCACTGCTGACCATACTGAAGATCTGTCACCCGCCCACAACTTCGCAGGCAGAGTCGCCAATGCGTACCGTGACTATATCTTCCATGCAGTGCTCAGAACGCCAGCTCGTGACTTTTACCAGGACGATATCGCCTACCAACAGCCTGAACACGTACGGAAGATGGACATAGTCTGCGACCTACTTACTAGAGGAGTGGATCTTAGCTTGCGCGATAGGATCGGAGACACAATTCTCCACACCGTGTGTGGCGATCTTGGCCCGCCCGACCTTGGCAACGAGACTGAAGGGTACCCGTTTCTCAAGCTCTTTCTTGGGCGTGGTGACGATGGCCACGGAGAAGGCACCAGAGGCGCGTGCATGTCTCTGATCAACGCACAGAACAGCGGGTGGATCAACGAGGAAGGCCAACAACAGATATTCTGGCATACGCCTCTGGGTGTCGCAATTCTGTATAACAACCTCGCATGCGCCAGACTGTTGTTGGAGAACGGGGCTGATCCGAACATACCTGGAGAGTGGGGCGAGCCGCCCATTTACTTTGCTGTGCGCAATGATAGCCTCGCGACTGTGAACTTGCTCCTCGACGCTGGTGCCAAAGGCACCGCTCAGACGTACTCGCAGATCCGCTCCAGTCAGGTGGAGGCCGCACTTGCGTCTCGAGATAGGGTTGGGTAAGCGCATGAAGCTATGGAGCTTGGCAGCGGCAAACACGGTGGGTTGTTGCAGTTGATTTTCAGCGAGTCAATGGGAAAATTAGACCGGAGATAAAGACGACGAATAAAAAATCTCAGGCATTACAGAATATGTCTATCTACTACCGTGGAGCTCTCCACAGGGCGTTGAAAAACTGGACTTCAGCACGGCTTTCGCAACCCCTCCAGCCACTTCCAGGTCTCGCCGACAACAAGGGCTAGGTTCGGACCGGAAATGGCTGCGGGGTTGATCGGTATCTTCTCATGGGTCTGACGTTCACCGTTATCACGCCAGAGGATAACAGAATAACCTAGTTCGGAACGCCATATTTCCACAGTCGGTCTGCCACAAGTAGAATAACGTAGAGAGAAGCAATCCCAGACAAATAGTGCTTGTAGGTTATATTGCGGTGCCTCGTGCTACGGTTTCGGGAGTGGCCTGTAACTCGTGCAGCTTGTTGTGGCGCCGCAGCACATCCGTAAAGCCAGGCCCACTCTCTTTCCCACTAGTTAAACAAAACAACGCCTAACATTATCAACATCCACCAATAGCTAGGACGAGTTTTCGACTGGTCGGTGCGATCACGCGTGCCCTGTCTTTAGTGGAGCCCTGTACATCGAACCAACCGTTTGTTCTTCACCACATCGTTTATAACACTGACCAAAAACAAGCAGCAAAAACAGGGCAAAATCGGCTATTGTTGTCTTTCGACGCTTCCTAGTAGTAAGTCGGAGCACCCCCATTCGGCCACCCCCCCCATTCGGCCACCCCATCAAAAGTAGGTCCAGGCACATCGCCACCAACTACAGTCAATTAATTAACTACCTTCCACTGCCACTACAATACAGTCACTGCCCTCACTAGGTAATTCGACCTCTGCGGTTCGACTGGGACTAATTAGACGCTCGCCAGCGTCTTCCTGAGCCGTCTTTATGTCCCTGATGTTGGCGAACTTGGTGTTTGGGTCTGTTTGAACACTCTTCTTTTTCCTGGGAGCTATGCGCTTAACTCTAGCTTCCAGAACTCGAACTTGCTGTTGAGATGAGGCCAATAGGAAGGACTTCTCGCTGAAGGCTTTTTTGACCTTGCGGAAAAGCAGACGTTGAGTGTGGTGGTCAGGCCTGAGCTCTGTGAATAGCTTCAGCTGCCCACAGAGATCGCTGGCTTTCCTAGGAGTTGACCAGTCAACAACAGACGCTGCAGAGGTCCAGTCAACGACTTTGGTAGTATTGGCAGTTGTCTGCCCAGCATTGGTGGTGTCGTTTGATGGTGTAGCTGGGCCAGACGATACCATAGGATTACTAAGAGGTATGGCCATGTTGGGTGGCCATAGGCCAGTTGCTCTCCAACCACTTCGTATATTATCCCTCGTCAAACCAAGCAAACGAGCTATGATATAACAGGCCAAGAAGTACCGCTTTCCAACGATAGTAGAATTGTCTACTATATCCTCCTTGCTGAGCTCCTTTCTGTAGTGGGTTTTGATAGGACCAAAGACAGCCATATCCAATGGCTGGAGGACATGGGAGGTGTGTGGTGGTAAGAATAATAAGTGGACGTTGTTAATATAGCACTCCCACATAAATTCTGTCGTCGTATGACTCCCATGCCCATCCAGAATCAACAGTCGAGGCTCCAGCTGTGGGTTGGGTCCCCTGGTCAGGGGGGGCTCAGTCTGTGGCAAGAAGACCACCCTTAACCATGTGAGGGCAGTCTGGTCTGTAGTCCACCCATTAT